GTGCAACGCGCTTGACCTGCGCAACTGGTGCTGAGACTAAGGTCGTCAGCTGCTCTTTGCACTGGCGGAGGAAGGCATGATCAGCTTGCTCCTTCAAACCCGCTGTCCTCCCAAGGAGGCCCTCCAACAGTTGGCTGGCCGCCCCCGCCGCCCCCAGAACCAAACCTCCCTACCGACCCTTAGCGAACAGGCCTTCAACATAATGTGAACGAGCTTGCGTTGCCGTCCACATTGACAGGGTGGTCTTCTCTGCCAGCCAAGCCGCTGGCTTGGGCGTCTGGGGCGGCACTATCTTGGCCCCTGGATATGCGCCCCTACTGGCCTCTTCTAACTTGACTGTTTCCGCTTGCCCACTGAGAATCAGGTGCTCGGCTGCCACGGCAAACTCCATGTACACATGCGCTGGACTACCGTAGCGGGCCTGGGCCAGGGCAGGGCGGTGCACGCCGCGCTCCACGCGCTGCTGCGCGGCCGCGAGGTGATCTTGCCGCGGCAAGTCAGGCCCACAAGCTAGTAGGACTACTGGCGGCGGCTGCAACAGCATTCTGGTCATCGCTGGCTCTGGCGGAAAAAGAAATGTCCAACAGTGCCAAAGTGGGGAGCGGCCCAAGGCCCTCTGGTGTCCCACTCCGAGGAGACTAGCCCTGACAGCTGCTCTGACACCAGGCAATAGACGATGACCCTGTGTTCTCCTGGCTGCTCCGCCGGTGGCCTGCGCCAGGCCGCGTTCAAAAAATGCGGGGAGATGCATGCGCCTGAGTTCATCCCCAGTCATGTTCCAGTCTGCCATTAGAACAAACAGCAGGCCCTTGGCCTTGAGGAAAGATGCTACGCTATTGAGCGCGTCAACGCTCGGGCCTGCTAATCCCACTCCGGCTGCCAGATACATGGGGGCAACAAAGGATCTCTACGCCTTGCAGCCGGACTGAAACCGCGGCCCGCTGCTCTCGCTCCTGCAGCGGGGCCAGCTGCGCCCTCCAGGTTAAGCGCTTGCGGACGCTGAGCCAAACTCCGCCGTGACCTCTACCCCCCGCACCTGCCGCGGGAACCGATGACGCAGACTCAATGGCCCAGCCCAGCTTGGATATATGTTTCTTGCTCTGGTCGAGGCGAGGACCTGGCAAATGATGCTCGGTGGTACCCCGCGCGCGCGCTCGGACCAGAGCACCTGCTGGCTGTTTCAGACGGCCTATGCCCTTGCCATTCCAACTTGTGACGTTCGCGAAATAGAAGGTGAGGTTGCCCAGTTGGCCCCTGCCCCCAGCCTCTGCCCGTCGCGGCCCCTTGCTTCGGGGCGCTCCAGGCTCTCCCGTCGCAAGGGCCTTTGAGGGCTTGCATGCGCTGCATCCTAACGCGGACTCTCCAGGCCCGCGGCGCAGACTCCCAGCGCCGTGGGCCCTGGTCGGCGACCGCGCCGCCACGGCTGCAGGGCGCTGCTTTCCTCGAGCCGCCGAATTTGTAGTACTCGCCCCCGTGCCGAAGCCTCCGCCTTGGCGCTCCCGGGGTCTAGCAGGGCGCCCTCCAGGGATCGCGGGCTTCGCGTGGGCCGTAAGCGGGGCACTGCTCCTGCATCCCAGCGAGGTTTCCATCCCACGGCGCAGCCCCCCCCCCCCCGCGAAGCGCGCGCGCCCACGCCGACGCTTCCCGCCGCGCCAGGCATGGGGCCAGTGCCTCGAAGCGCTCCAGGCTCGAGCGTCGGCTGGGCCTTCGAAGGCGCGCTCGCGCCAGGGCCATGCGCCTTCCGCCGCTCTCCAACGGACATGGCCCCCTGGGGCGCTGACCCTCCAGTCGCCGAAATTGAAGTGCTCGTTCCCGTGCCGCGGCCTCCTCCGGAGCGCTCCTGAGGACTTCCAAGGCGCTCGCCAGGGATCGCGGGCCGCGCGTGGGCCGTGTCTCTGTAGCCCAGCGGGGTTCCCGTCCCACGGCGCAGGCTTCCAGCGGCTGCCCAGCCAAACTGTTCTGCAGAGCCAGCGACCCGCGGATGTCTCTTCATCTGCTTCGCCGCAGTCGCTTTGATGCCTCCTCTTGAAAGAACCCTGCCGTCCCATTGTGCCATAAGCTCCCGAATGCGCGTTGCCGTGTCCTCTGCACCGACGTCCATGTCCTCACTTGCGGTGTCTCCCTCGTGCGGCACTGGGACGGCAGCAGCCCCTGCAGTGGTAGCAGGAGGAGCAGGAGGGCCACTAGCACGCCCTGCACTCGGCCCGTTGCCTGGGCGGGGTCGCAGCGCTTCGACCTTCGCCAAGGCCGCTTGGGCGACCGTGGCCACCTCGCTGCCGCCGCCGCCTGGGATGTCCCCAGCCGCTGCCTGCCCCTCGTCGGCGTGGACGACCAGCCGCTTGACCAGGTTGGTGAGCTTGCCGACCTCCTCCCAGAACTCATCTCCGACGGGGGCTGGTGCTGCGGCTGGCGTGCCGCCTCCGACTCGAACTGCTGCCGCGACCCTGGCCTGCTCAAGGTCGGCGCGCGCCTGGCGCAGCAGCTCCTGGGACTCCACCACTTCTGCTGCAGCCTCCAGGGCGGCTTGCTCGGCGCGTTCGGCTCTCTGGGCCGCCTGAAGTAATATGTGCTGCGCGTTGGCCACATCCTGCGGCAGGTCCTTAACTGATTTGGGATATTCCATGCCTGCTGCTCGCAGGCGGCGGCGGAAGAGGATCTTGCCCCGTTGGCCTCTGGTGAAGATCCCCGCGAGCAACTCAAACTGATCCGTCGCCATGAGCACCCAAGACTCCATTTGCTTGTCGTCGAGGACTGGGGCACCCGGCGTGGACGATGGCTTGCCACAGCCTGGTTTGCCCCCGTTGCCACCTTGCGTCCACGGCGGCTAGGCCGCCTGTCCTGGTCCCCAGGTCCACATCCCTCGCTGCTGTGGGCGTTGTCCTGGGGCTGGGCGTCCTCCATGCGCAGGGTTGTAGCCGCCACAGTTGAAGCAGCGCGCCTTCGCCCCGCGGTTCCACGCATTGCACGCGCGACATCCCCAGCCCACCATGGTTTGAGCCAGGGACTGCGGGGAGCTCGAAAGAAGAGAATCGTGATGACAGCCGGGCGAACGCCAGATGCCGAAAGCAAACCTCGTCCGACCAGGTCAACGAGGCGTGACTTTGGGGGCCGCCACTCCCCCGCACCGAGGCCAGGTCCTGTGCCAAAACACTACGGACTTGAACCAAAATGGCTACGGCCTCCTCCTCATCCTCCTCCTCCGCCTCCTCATCATCACCGTCTTCACCGTCATCATCTTCATCAGCATCATCATCAGCAGCATCATCATCATCAGCATCATCATCATCAGCAGCAGCAGCATCATCACCACCACAACCAACACCACCACCACCACCACCATCAGCATCATCATCATCATCATCATCAGCATCATCAGCATCAGCAGCAGCTTCATCATCATAATCATCATCATCATCATCAGCATCATCATCATCAGCCTCATCATCATCATCAGCAGCATCAGCATCATCACCACCACAACCAACACCACCACCACCACCATCAGCATCATCATCATCATCATCATCATCAGCATCATCAGCATCAGCAGCAGCTTCATCATCAACATCATCATCATCATCAGCATCCTCATAATCATCATCATCATCATCATCAGTATTATCATCGTCATCATCATCAACATCAGCATCATCATCATAATAATCATCATCAGCATCATTACCATAATCATCATCATCGTCATCGTCGTCGTCATCATCAGCATCAGCATCAGCATCAGCATCAGCAGCATCATCATCATCATCGTCATCATCATCGTCAACAGCAACATCATCATCATCATCATCATCATCATCAGCATCAGCACCACCATCATCACCACCACCATCATCAGCGACACCATCAGCATCACCATCACCATCACCATCACCATCCTCATCATCAAAATCATCAGCATCATCAGCATCAACAGCTGTATCATCAACATCATCGACATCGTCCACCTCATCATAATCATCATCATCAGCCTCAGCACCGTCATCATCCTCATCGTCGCCGTCATCGTCATCATGCTCAGCATCAGCATCATCATCGTCATCAGCATCATCAGCATCATGAAATTCAGCATCCTCATCAGCATCATCATCAGTATCCTCATGATCATCATGATCATCATCAGCATCATCATCATTAGCAGCATCATCATCTGCAGCATCATCATCAACATCGTCATCATCATCAGCATCATCTGCATCAGCATCAAAATCAGCATCATCGGTATCTTCGTCGTAGCACTCATCAACATCGCAAACATCATCAATATCATCACCATCATCATCGTCATCATCATCATCATCATCATCACCATCATAATCATCCGCATCATCATCATCAACAACATCATCAACGTCAGCATCATCAGCAGCATCATCAGCAGCATCAGCATCCTCATCAGCATCCTCATAATCAGCATCAGCAGCATCAGCATCATCATCATCATCAGCATCGTCATCATCATCATCGTCACCATCATCATCATCAGCATCATCATCAACATCATCAGCATCGTCATAATCGTCATAATCAGCATCATCAGCATCATCAGTATCATCATCATCATCATCAACATCATCATCGTCGATATCATCAGCAGCAGCATCATCGTCGTCTTCCGCATCAGCATCATCAGCAGCAGGAGCAGCATCCGCATCAGCGTCAGCATCAGCATCATCATCGTCCTCGTCCTTCTCATCATCGTCCATCCTCATCAGCAGCATCATCTTCAGCATGTTCATCATCATCATCATCATCACCACCATCACCGTCACCACCATCATCATCACCACCACCACCATCCTCCTCCTCCTACTCATCGACGTCATCATCAAGATCATCAGTTGCATCATCAGTTGCATCATCATCAGCATCATCATCTGCCTCCTCCACATCTCTTCCTTTTCCTCCTCCTCCTCCGCCTCCTTCTCCCCCTACTTGTCTTCATCCTTTTTCCTCACCCTCCCCCTCCTCAGGGCGGTTGCCACCTGCGAGAGGCCGCTGGTCAGGCTGCCGGCGGAGCGCGCAGATGACATCGAGCGCAGCGAGTCCTCCCGCCACGGGCCCTGCGGTCAGGGGCTGGCGGCGCGCCCGACGGGAGAGGCAGGGGAGGGGAGGGGGGGGACAAGGGAGGGCCAGGAACTGGGGGGGCCGGGGAGGAGGGAGGAATCAGGCACACACTACCATGGATCATAGATTCGTAGATCGGGACCGTGGGCTCGGAAGGAACTTGGCCCCCCCGAAACCATGGAGCCAATGCCCCTCGTCGGGACCTGTCGCCAATCCATGCGCGTTGCCTTCCGCGAGGGACGAGGAGGAGGAGGAGGAGGACAAGGAGGAGGAGGAGGAGGAGGAGGAGGAGGAGGAGGAGGAGGAGGAGAGGGAGGAGGAGGGGGAGGGGGAGGAGGACAAGGACAAGGACATCCGCATATGGGGGTAACGTCAGAGAAAAGAACGAGGAGGAGGAAGAGGAGGAGGAGGCGGAGGATACCGCACTGCATTGGCGACGCCGCGCAGGTGACCAAGCGCCAGGCGGGCAAAGAATAAAGGGGGTTCGGGAGCCCGAACCTCAGGCGCCAGAAAGCCGCCTTTCCCCAACCTGCAGGATCGCGGGAAGGCGCTGGCACAGCAAAAAAAAGGAGAAAGAGACGCGAAGATTTGAAACAAATTCGTGGCCAAAGAGCCTGACCCAGGTAACTTCAGGATCCCGAACATGTAACGGCCGAGGGGGCGAGAGTCGCCTGGACCCCGAGTTCCCCTCATCTGGGTGGTGCCCAACGAGAAAAAGACGGCGGTTCCGAGCGGCTCTTTCAGACATATTGTACGCTGGGTCGGCCGAGGAACAGTCTATCAATAGAAACCACGCTGTGCCCGTGGTGAAAAGCCCACAAGAAGCACACGAACAACACTGGTCACTGGCTACCCGGAGCGTGCGGCCCCTGACGGCATCCGCGGGGACGGGACCCGCTTCCGGCAGAGAGCGAACGGAGATAGTGGAGGCAGCAAGTGTCGGCTGTGCCGATACTGGCCGCCTGTCCTCCACCTCTTGTCAGGCGGAAAACAGGTCCATATCGTTCAGGGGCTAGATCAGAGATCGCCAGATCTCGATCAGCTGCTCAATAATCTCGGACAGAAACTACGGGCTCAAAGCTCACCCTGGGACGGATATTTCGGGCACCCTCCCCGCTCGAGAAACTGCGAGACCTACCTCTATGAGCGGGGGTGCCGTCCATTTCAACTTCAACAGGGTCGAGAGGTCCAACCCAAGGGCGCATCGATCGAACGAAAGCCGAGGAGGAGGAGGAGGAGGAGGAGGAGGAAGAGGAGGAGGAGGAGGAGGAGGAGGAGGAGGAGGGGTAGTCACCGCAAGCAGAAGGACCAAGTTCCCCCGCTTGGAGGGCGGGCCTATTCCTGCCAGCCTGGCCGCTAGTAGCGTCGCCGGGGACGTCGAGAGCAGGATGGGACCACCACCCAGAGGGCCTTTGGCAGCGCGCACGCGAGCGGGGCACGCAAGCAAGGAGACGATTACGGGACCTCTCTCGTGCTTCGAGCCCAATCTACAATAGGAGCATCTCCAAATCGCACGGCCGCTGACTGGGCCAACAACGTGGCGCAGCTCAGGGAGGGCCTCGACCCCTTCGAAATCATTGGACCTCTTGGGCCTGACTCTCGATTTGGCGCGGGGTCGCGCGTCAACACGTTGTCCAGCCTGAAAGCGAATGAAAGCATAACGCTGTCATCTAAGCAAGTTCTTGTATTGCCCGTGGGCAATGCGCATGGCTCGACGGTCGAGCTTATTGACAGCGTGTAAGTCTCTACCGCTACAGGCCGCGAAATCAGCCCATCTGTTGCCAGCGGCGTGGGCATCTGTCCCACGCTGGTGGCCTCTGACAAGGTCGATCGCGTTCCCTGATTCGAGACCGCCTAAGTCATTGATGCTCCCAATATGGCGTCCCAGACGTCCACATTTAGGCGCCTGGGGGAGCAGCGCCATTGAGGTCCACGGGCGATCCCATATGGAAGCCCTTTGTAGTCCGCGCGGACAACTATCGGGGGGCAGACAGACCTGCAACACCCGTAGAAGCGCATGCAGCTCCGCCCTAGGAGGGGACTGGAGGGGGCATGGCACGGCTCCAACAACATGATGGTCTACGCCTTGTCTCATGCCTCGAAGCTGTACGACACCCCATCCAGCTCTAGTCGCGTCAAGCCAATGCCACATGCGCTGACGTGCTCCGCCTGTGTACATGCGTCCTGTGATGGCGTGGGGATCTTCGCACATGATGCGCCATCTGCCACTGTCGCCCCGCGGCGGTCGCGGGGGAAAGCATCCACTACTGACCAGGCCACGCGCCCAGAGGAGACCCGAGGGCGACTGCGCAGGAAAACTCCGAAAGTCAGCATCACGCATGTACGCAGCACGTTCAAACTGGAGGTGTGTGCAAGTCCAGAATATGATCTGGATCGCACCCTTGCTGCCCACACCTCGGACATGCTGACTCGGTTCGATACCCGCAAGCTTCCAGGCGAGCGGGTGTCCAAAGTCCTCCTGTGAGGAGGGCACGATGTAGACCTGCTTCTTTAAAATCGGGTCGCCATGTACGATCACTGCCTAGAGACTCTGGGTCCAGTGGCTCATACTCAGGCTGCGAGGTATCACCTAGATCACTGCGGGTGCTCTGGATCTGGGGTGGAGACCAAACCAGAAGCCGATGGGCCCCTCGGGGTACAGACGTTCCTTGGGGCACCGACGCTCCGCAAGCGCATCCGCGACTCGCACCAGCGGCTCTGGCGAGAGGCCGCGGCTCGCGACGAGGACCTCGAGCACGCGGCCAACGGCGCAGCCACCAGCGGTCTCCGACGGCGGCTGCTCGCCGCCAAGGCGAACCCCGAGCAGCGGGTGCGGTGGTCCAGCGCCCGCAACGAGGCGCTCGGCGGGCTCTGGTCAGTGGCCCGCCGAGCCGCCCTCGACCCGCCGCTGCGCCGCTCGGGGGCCTGCCCCGCGGGGCGCGGCGGCCGCGGCACGGCGCGGCACGGCGCGGCACCTCGCCTGGAGGCGCCCCGCCCTCGCAGCGGAGAGACGCGACGCCATCGCGGGCGACGAGGCGCTGCAGACTTTCGCCGACGTGGCCGAGGCGTCCGACAGCGAGGACACCCGTTACTCGAGAGCGCTCATCCCCGACCAGGCGGCCGCCCTCCCGCCGCCGCTGGAGACCCAGGAGGCGCTGTGGAGCAGCGGTCACAGCTAGGCGGCCTTGGCGGGAGCCAGCGCCCTGTACACCGACGGCTCGGCGATGCACGGCAAGGCGGGGTCGCCCGAGGTGCGCGCTGGATGGGGGCTCGCGGCGCTGCAGGTTCGCGGCGCGGCGCGCAGCGCCTGGGGCTGCGCCCCCGCCCACCTGCCGCAGGAGGCGAACGCGGACGAGATCCTGGCCGCAGCCCGCGCCCTACGCTGGGGCCTGCCAGGCGCGGGCGGCATCCTCGAGATCAGGACGGACTGCAAGCTGCTCGTGACGGGCTTCGCCGCGGGCAAGGCCTGGTGCTGCGCGTGGGACCGCCCGTGCCTGGAGGTGTGGCCCGAGTTCTGGAAGGCCGTGGACGGCTTCGGCGGCCAGCAGCATGTGCGGGTCACCAAGGTGAAGGGGCATGCCACGCTCAGCTCGGTCCGCGACGGCCGCACAAGGATGGACGACTACGAGGGCAAAGGCGCTGCGGACGGCTTCGCCAACAAGAGCGCAGAGCTCCACCCCACGTGCGAGGCGGCGGCGAAGCGCATCGAGCTGGCCGACGCGATCGCGGCGGCGATGGCTCTCTGGCTCGGCGCGGCGCTGCAGCCAGGGAGCGCCGCCCTCACGGCGGCCGGCGGCGCGGACGCTGACGCGGCGGAGCCCACCTGCTGCGGACGCGGATGCGGGCCGCGGGGCGCCGCGCGCTGCCGCGACGGCGGGCCAGGCTGCAGACGCTGGCCCTGCGCCGCGCACGGCACGGCGGTCTCGGACGTGAACGGGACGCGCTGGCTCTGCAACGCCTGCGCTGGCCGAACTGACGGCACGCCCGTCCACGGCGGACCGCCTGGGCTCCAGGCGGCGGGGCGGAAGCGCCAGGCCCCTGGCCAGGAGGCCGACGAGCGGCGCGGCCGCGCGCGGACCACCGCGAGCGCGAGCCGACCAGGCGCCGAGGGCGCGGGAGCCGCCGTCGCTGACGCGATGGCAGCGGCGGTGCTGGCGGCCCAGGCTCGCGGGGGCGCCCAGCACGCCGACGGCGACGCGGAGGAGAATGGCGAGGCCGCGGGCGCCGAGGTCGAGAGCGGCCGCCCACGCTGGTTGAACGTGAGCTTCGACGAGTCGCACCGACTCTCGACGATCGGCGAGGGGCCGCGCCGCCTCGTCTTCTGCGCGGTCGACGCCCGTGTGGTCTCGCTCCGCGGCCCGTGCGCGGGAGGAGCCAGCGCCCGCCAGGCCGCCGCGCTGAGGAGGATGCGGCAGGGGCGGCACCCCACGCGGGGAAGCGCGGGCGCCGAGCTCGGGGGCGGCCGCCCCGAGCCGCTGAGCCGAGCACCACTCCCAGACCGTTATGGCCTTACCATATCATTATCATCATCATCATCATCATCATCATCATCATCATCATCATCATCATCATCATCATCATCATCACCATCATCATTATCATCATTATCATCATCATCATCATCACCACCACCACCACCACCATCATCATCATCATCAGCAGCAGCATCATCATCATCGTCAGCAGCATCAGCATCAGCATCAGCATCATCATCATCATCATCATCAGCATCATCAGCATCATCATCATCATCATCATTTTCATCGCTACCATCATCATCATCATCATCATCATCATCATCAGCATCATCATCAGCATGATCAGCATCATCATCATCACCATCACCATCAGCATCATCATCATCAGCATCATCATCAGCATCATCATCATCGTTATCATCATCATCATCGTCATCAGCAGCAGCATGATCATCATCATCATCATCATCATCACCATCACAATCACCATCATCATCATCCTCATCAGCATCATCATCATTAGCATCATCATCATCAGCATCATCACCATCAGCATCATCGTCATCATCGCCATCGTCATCGTCATCATCAGCATCATCATCATCCTCATCAGCATCATCAGCAGCATCAGCATCATCAGCAGCAGCATCATCAGCATCATCAGCATCATCATCATCATCGTCATCTCCTCATCATCACCATCATCATCAGCATCATCACCATCAGCAACATTATCAGCAGCACCAGAACAAGCACCACCTGTATAGTCAGAGCCTCAGCACCTCACATATAATCAGCATACTCATCATCGTCATCATCATCAGCATCAACAGCATCAGCATCACCATCATCATCAGCACCAGCAGCATCGCCATCACCATGATCGTCATCATCATCAGCATAATCAGCAACCGCAGCATCATCATCATCATCAGCAGCAGCGCATCATCAGCGGTATCTACATCTGCATCTGCATCTCCAGTCTAATAATCGGCCGCACCGTCACATTCGGCATCAACAGTGGCATCGTCAGCATCAGCATGACCATCAACATCGTCGTCATCATCATAATATTCATCGACATTAGCAGCATCAGCATCATCTTCACCATCACCATCACAAACATCACCGACAGCCGCATTATCGTAAGCACGATCATCAGCACCAGCAGCATCACCATCACCAGCATCAACACCATGAACATCACCATCAACACAATCTACGTCAACAACATCAGCATATCCTCTTCAACATCATCCGCATCCTCATTGTCAGCATCATCATCATCATCATCATCATCACAATCAGCATCATCAGCAGCATCATCAGCATCATCATCAGCATCATCATCAGTTGCATCATCATCAGCATTATCATAATCAGCATCACCATCATCAGAAGCAGCATCAGCATTATCATCATCAGCAGCATCAGCAGCAGCATCAGCATCATCACCATCATCACTATCACCGTCCTCATCAAAATCGTCATCAGCATCATCATCAGCATCACCAGCATCGTCATCATCATCAGCATCAGCATCCGCATCATCATTATCAGCAGTAAAGCCATCCGCATCATCAACAACATCATCAGCACTCGTCATCGTAATCATCATCAGCAGCATCATCTTCATCATCGTCATCATCATTAGCGTCGCCATCGGTATAAGTTTCCCCTCCGTCCTTCCCTCGATATCTGCACTCGTGCCTCCTCCCTGCCAACAAGGTCCTGACGGCTGGAAATCCCCGTGGGCTGCAGCGACTTGGAGTGCTGCAGCCGCATGTTGTTCAGGTCCTGCCCGGCGCCAGGAGCCGCAGGGAGGGGCCTCTTCTTGCATGATGTCGTTCCCACAGGATTCAAGGACCACATCCCAGAAATAATGTCGAGCACCCAGCACAGTATCGAAACAGTGTCTATCCGACACGCTAGCCAAGTATCGAACGAGTATCGCCTCCCAGGGCCCGACACGTGAAAACCCTCCAGCTTAGGTACGTTCATGGCGCTCGAAATTGGTTCTGGCGATCAAGGCTCAAGTTGGAACATCATTATTATTGCAGCGTTTGGGCACCCTTGGGGGCTGTGGGGGATGCCGTGCCACACGTCTCTCCCCAGCGCCTCCCCCTCCCACGGCGCGCGCGCCGCGCCGCAGCCTCGACCTCGGCACGGCGGGCCCGTGCAATGGCGGATCCCGGCGCTGGTCTCTCCGACGCCGTCGGGGTCGCTCAGCCTCGTGCGTCGGCTACACGCAGGAGCGACCCTGGGTAAGAGTGACCTTTGGTGCGCGTCTGTTGGGGGGTCTCAGGGGAACCAAAGACAGGCGCGCACGGCGCTACCATCGCACCGCGCTCGGCGATCGGGGGATCCCTGGGGGCCCGCACCGAGATGTCACTCCGGCGAAAGGTCCCTATCACGTGCAGCCGAGTGCGATCGACCGCATTTGCCGACAGCACCGATCCCGGGCCGCTGGCGGCCTTCGGCCTCGAGCGCCCGCGCGCGGGTCGCAGCCGCGTCGGCACGACGCGAGCCTGCCGCAGATCGGGGGCCCACGGCCCCAGGCGGCACGTGCCATTGCCAGGGGGCGGCGCCCCGGCAACCGCACGGGGTCCCTGCGCGCGAGCCGCCCGCGAGAGGAGCGGCCTGGACCAACGGAGCAAGGAGGGGGGGAGGAGGGACGAGAGGGTGAAGGGGAACGGGGGGGCGGACGAGGGCGAGGGGAGGGGGACTGGGAGCAAGGGAGATGGAGGAGGGAGAGAGAGAAGGCGGGGAGGGAGGGAGAGAAGGCAGGGAGGGAGGGAGAACGGAGGGCGGAGGGATGGAGGGAGGGAGGCCCGGGCGGGGGAGGGAGAAGGACAATGAGAGACAGAGGAAGGGGAGGGAGGGAGAAAAGAGGAGGGAGGGAGGGAGAGAGAAAAGGGAGGCCCGCGAGCACCACCACCACCACCCGGCCCCTCCCCGGCGCTGCGCAGGTCGCCGATGCGGCCGCTGCACCGCTGGCGGCAGGCGCCAGCCCCGCGCCGTCCGTCCTTGTCGGGCGCGCGGGCACCCTCATCACCATCACCGTCACCATCATCACATCATCATCATCATCATCATCATCATCATCATCATCATCATCATCATCATCATCATCATCATCATCATCATCATCATCATCATCATCATCATCATCATCACCATCACCGTCACCATCATCACATCATCATCATCATCATCATCATCATCATCATCATCATCCTCATCCTCATACTCATCCTCATACTCATCCTCATCATCATCATCATCATCCTCATCCTCATCCTCATCCTCATCCTCATCCTCATCTCATCATCATCATCATCATCATAATCAGCATCAGCATCATCATCATCATCATAATCATCATCATCATCATCATCATCATCATCATCATAAGCATCATCATCATCATCCTCATCCTCATCCTCATCCTCATCCTCATCCTCCTCCTCCTCCTCCTCCTGATCCTCATCCTCCTCCTCGTCCTCCTCCTCATCCTCATCATCCTCCTCATCATCATCATCATTATATTATTGATCTTCTTCATCATCAGCATCAGCATGATCATCAGCATCATTATCAGTATCACCACCATCGTCACCAGCATCATCATCACCATCATCATCAGCATCATAATCATCATCACCATCATCATCATCATCATCATCAGCATGATCATCAGCATCATCAACACCATCATCATAACAGCATCATCATCACCCGTATGATCATCATCGTAATCATCGTCATCACCATCAACATCAGTAGCATAATCATCATCACCATCATCATAATAATCATCAGCATCATCGTCATCGTCATCAACATCGTCATTGTCATCATCATTAGCAGCATCGTCATCATCATCATCATCAGCATCAGCATCAGCATCATCATCATCGTCATCATCAGCATCATCATCCAGAGCATCATCATCAGCATCATCCTCATCATCATCCTGGTCATCAGCAGCAGCATCATCATCATCACCTGTATGATCATCATCATCGTCATCATCGTCGTCATCACCATCAACATCAGTAGCATAATCAGCATCACCATCATCATAATAATCATCAGCATCATCGTCATCGTCATCAAGATCGTCATTGTCATCATCAGTATCAGCATCGTCATCATCAGCATCAGCATCAGCATCATCATCATTGTCATCATCAGCATCATCATCCAGAGCATCAGCATCAGCATCATCCTGATCATCATCCTGGTCATCAGCAGCATCATCATCAGCATCAGCATCATCAGCATCACCATGATCGTCACTATCAACATCATCATCACCATCATCACCATCAGCATCATCAGCATCAGCATCATCAGCACAATCATCAACAGTAGCATCATCATCATCATCGGAATCAGAATCATTATCGTCATCATTATCAGCACCATCATCATCAGTAGCATGGTCATCATCACCATCAGCATCAGTATCGTCATCAGCAGCATCAGCATCATAATCAGCATCATCAACAACCTTCATCAACATCATCAGCATCAGCAACATCAGCATCATGACCATCAGCATCATCATCATAGTCGGCACCGCCACAATCATCATCAGCATCATCAGCAGCATCATCGAAAGACTGATAATACGAATAATGATAATGCGTATGGTAAGAGTGGTCATAGTAGTAGCCAGCATGAATTTCACAATGATCACAATAACAGTAATCAGTTCCCATCAATGGCATCACCTTCACACACCAGCATCATCATAACCAGCAGTATCAGCACCGTCAGCATCAGCATCAGCATCAGCTTGATCATGATGACAATCAGCTTCGAAAGCATCAGCATCGTCATCACCGTCATCAGCATCGTCAAGATCGTCGTCATCATCATAAGCATCATCATCACCACCATCATCATCAGCACCATCACATCATCATACCAACAGCATCACCGTCATCAGCATCATAAGCATAATCACAATCAACAGCAGCAACATCGGCATTATCATCAGAATCAGCTTAGTCATCATCAGCATCAGCATCATCATCATCAGCATCAGCATCATCATCACCACCATAATCCCATCATCATCCTCCTCCACCTCCTTCTGCTCCTCCTGATCCTCCCCCACTTCCTCCTCCTCCTCGGGATACGTTTCCTCCTGCTCCTCCTCCTCCTTCCCCTCGTTCTCGTCTTCGTAATTTCCCTCCTCTGTTTCTTCTCTTCTATGTTTCTAGTTCCTTCTCATCCTCCTCATCCTTCTCCCTGTTCCTCCCCCGCGGCCTCCTTCACTCACAAAGAAGTATGCGCGCCAGGGGCAAACACACAACACAGCAGAATAAGGATGACTCGTCTCTGAGACGAGGGTCTTGAAGCTCCCGATGCCTCAGTGCCACACGCTTCTCCTCGACAGCTGCGTTCCAGCTGCCTTGTTTGAGTCCGTACCTTGCCAGCAAAATTTTAGTGCCGAGCGAGGGGCCCCAGATTTCCACCGAGGGCACAGGCTGCCCTTGCTCCAGAACAACATGGCGCGCTTTCGGCGTCACGAGGCCCACCAAGGCATAGGGAGACGGGAGAAGTCCCAGAGGTCTAGTCCAGGAAATTGCTTGAAGCCGCAAGGAATATATTCCTCGGCGCCTCTCTTACGCTGACGGGCCAAGGTGATCGTGGTTAGTGTGCGTTCCCACCTCCTTTCTAAACTCTGGATGCCTCCCCACGCATGGCCTCCAGAGGCGGTGCACAAGAAGACGAAATTACTCTTGGGACGCGGTGGCGGTAGACCAGAGGGGAAAAAGACCGATGCCGCCTGCAGCCAGTGGCACTGGAGCGTCGTGACAGCCGCCAATTCTCCGTGAGTCTCTGGCACGATGGGGGGCCGACGCAGCGTTCTTGCTTTGCTAATTGGCGACAGCCTCCCTCGAACTTGCCGCATCACGAATCCCGTCCCGCCCTCCCGCCCGTCCCGAAGCTCACGAGGAAATCGAAGGGGGCGAGTCGAAGGTCCCTGGTTCTGCCATCAGGACCTCTCGGATCGCAGCCCAGCGTGCAACTTAAGCAACATTATCCTGCAAACCATCGACCACTTCTCCAGCATTCCCAGGGTCTGGGTGCAAGAGGGCTCCTTGGCCAACATAAACATCAGCCACCCGATTGCCAGCCACAAGAACTCCGCGATGCGTCCTTCTGTCACCGCGTTGCAAGGAAGGTGAAACTCCTCCCAGATGTGGCACCTGGGCTTGGAGAGATGGCAGATGTTACTCACATCCGACATGGGACGCGGCGTCTCCTTGGACAAGCCCTGTAGCCGCCATCAGGAGCGCAACACATCCTCCCCACCCCTTGCTGATTGGAACGGCCCCAAGTGCCATGGGACCGCTCCGAACGCTGATGCAAATCCAGCGCTTTCCTTCGCGTAGCTGGAAAAGGCACCAATCCGCCCTGCGGGCCAATGGGCAGGTGGGGAAACCGGCCAAACCCTCAACAAAAACAGTTGGCCTGTCATATAGCCACACGATGGCCGTTGGACCCAAGGGGTTTCAACTTCACCATCCCACAGGGGGCTCGGGACGAGCTCCAGGGGAAACGAGAAGAGGACGCAGTCTGCCTTTTCCAAATCCTGATCAGCCAGCTGTAACGCCACAGCTGTCTTCAAAATTCCTGGGGACACATGTCGGCACCTGGCACCACGCCAAGGTCACCAACGAATGTGCGGTGCCAAAACTGTACATGAAACCCTACCCTAGCATTGGCAAACATCCGTGTCCGATTTACCGTGTCTGGCCTGCAGGGCCCAGCTCATGTGTTGCTGGGACTCGTTGTGGCGCGCAGTCAGAACACGCGTTATTTCGTCATGGAGGAGCTTCACAAGGGGTGCCCAGAAAATGGGTCTTACCCATATAAGCTGTCCTTTCTGCTTCCCCAACGCCGTCGCATCAGACAGACGTCCTGCCGTTTTGGGGGTCATCCACTGAATCTGGCTGGGCCCGAACGTTCTGAGGCAAACTGTTTCACCCGTACCAATGATGAGGTGGGTGGCTGAGGTAGCCTGCCGCCTCCCTTCCTGGAGAGAAAGACGAGGAAGACATGAGCGGGAGACGAAACGAAAGCCCAGGGCCTTCTGGCTTGGCTGCGGCCTGCCACCGCCCCTATCTAACGTGCTCTGAAGCATGATACAGACGATGGGGATCCATCTGGTGCCAAATCTTGGCAGCCCCATTTTGAGCCCTACGGGGACCCCGTCGGGCGTTGGCCTGAGGTCCCGCTCTCTGGATACCTCCAACCTTGGTTCCCGCATTCTTAAGTTTCAGCAACTTCCCAAAGCGGCATACCCCTTTATAAAGACGCCTAGGGGCGGTAGTCATGACCCGTTTCTTGTTGGCCTGGGCGTCTGTTCCGAGCAAGGTGGCTACATGCCTCCTGGAAGGCATAAGCCCAGTCCCATTGACGAGAGATCTTCTGCTGACTACGACGCCGACGCTACGAAGTACGTCGTCTTCTCTACAAGCACCAGCACGAGCCTCTTGTAGCCTGCCGCCAGTAGCCGTCCAGCCTTGCCTAGCTTCTCCCCCACGAACCTGCGAGCCCCGATCACCTGCACGTGTACGTTGTCCACCACGTTGCGGACTATCACTGCTGGGCACTGTCTCGCAAGCGAAGTGAGCAGATTGAACATGAGGACTGTTGCCATCGCTACCGCCAACGAGAGTCCTGCACGCACTGTGCCATTCACATCGGCGACTGATGGAATCGCGCTGTGGAATGTGTGTTCTGGGTCCTGCATAGAGCCGATATGCCAACAGGATGGCCTGCAAGGGGAAGCCATTACCTTTCCCCTGGTCAAGAATCGGAAATGCGAGATCCTCTCGTAAAACTTCGAGGGGTCGGAAAACAGGGCCCCTGAGGCGTAAGGCGCAAATTGTGCTCACACCCAGCCGTGCCCAAACTCAGGCTTTTGGCGATCCAGTTCCCATTTCCTGGCCAGTTCTTCTCTAAGTCTAGCCCACACCCTAAAATATGATGAGCGCAATGT